AGGAATTCCTCCACTTCACCCACCTGCATATGGTGGACAGGGTCAACCGGGGGAACGTCCTCGGCGCTGTCGTTGACGTCGTCGTCGTCGTTGACGTCCTCGTCGTCGTCCACGACGACGACGTCATCGTCCGCGTCCTCGTCGTCGACGTGGACGACGCGCACCTCTTCAAGGAAGACGACGTCGTCGTCGCCCTCGTCAACGACGACGACGTCGTCGTCGTCCTCGGCACTGTCACCACCGTCCTCGTCGTCAACGACGACGTCGTCGTCATCGCCGGCGTCAGCGTCCTCGTTGTCCTCGTCGTCGACGTGGACGACGCGCACCTCTTCAAGGAAGACGACGTCGTCGTCGCCCTCGGCACCGTCACCACCGTCCTCGTTGTCAACGACGACGTCGTCGTCATCGCCGGCGTTAGCGTCCTCGCCGCCGACGTCGACGTCGCCACCGTCCTCCACAGGAGGAGGTGTTGGAGGTGGAGTCGGAGGTAACCATGGAGGGTTGTCCAAGTCCATGGCAACCTCCATGGCTACCTCCATGGCAATGTCGATGGCGATATCCATCGCCACCTCCAACACCTCCTCGTCTGCCAAAAACTCGCGCACGAATTGTTCGCGGTGGCCCATTGTTTTTATCACACGTACACACACGCACGCACACACGCACACACACACGCTCACGCACTCAGTTAGTTTCGAAACGACGCGAAACAAATTGTACAAATATGAAAACGAACGGATGATGCACTGCTCGCGAAAACGGCGGAACGGTATCCTGAAGTCTGCGTTTACACGTCGCAATAACGCGCCTCAGGACATACGAAAGAGCACTGACGAGATGCATCGGCGAGAGAAGCGTCTCGGCCCTATCTAATGTATATATAAAAACAATTGCGGCGGCCCTATCTATTGTATATAAAAACAACTCCGATTACTTTGCTAATATAATCGCGCGTAGTAAATCTAACGCCGAGATTCGTTTCGAAGGCAATTGTAGTATAACGGGACGGGAAAGAAAGGCTAGGAAGAAAAAAAAAATTAGTTTATGCTGAATATATATATATATTTTTTTATTCATAAATTTTTTTTAGTACAACGTAGTAAGTAATACATATTTTTATCGCGCGTTAAATACCAAAGCGAGAAGCTCGCAATCAACGAGCTGGCGTTTGTCGAAGACGTCGCTCTCGCTTATAGCGTTCGCGACGTTGGCGAAGCGCGTGTACTTGACGTCGACGGTCCCGACGAGTCGGGACAATCGCTCGAAGGTAACGTCGATGCAGCCGTCGAGATCGAACATACGGCGTAGCGTGGATTCGATCATCGTGACGTGGACGGTCGGGGATTCGAGCCGTACGAGCGTGAGATCGGTGTGCGCGTAGATCGTTACCGTGATCGGTCCGACGGTTACGAAATTATCCTTGTGCTCGTTGCGCAGCAACTTGTAGATGTTCGATCGCTGCTCGTAGAGACCCTTCCACGTCTCGAGGGACATGGGCAGTTCGCGTCCCTGATGATCGCCCAGAACGATCTCCACGTAGCTCGGTGGACCGACGTTGACGCCGATTTCCAGAAACTTGTAGCCCGTTGCGGTCAGGTCGTAACGCCGACTCAGAATGCGCACGGGGCGACGCTTCGTCCTGCGTACGACGGTAATTAGTGAAGTCGAAGGAAAATAAAAGAAGAGTAAAAACTTACGATTCCTTCTGGTCCATCTCGGAGTAGAAGCCGAACATGATCCGTTCGCGCGGACGATCGTAGCGAGAATGATCGGATGTTCTCAGAACTCGAAGGGAGAAATCGAAGCGAGTGGGGGGAGAACCTGTCGCGACAGGTCTCCGAGAAATGTTTTTGTTCGTAAGGCTCGCTCCAACGATTCCGAGAAATGTTTTTGTTCGTAAGACTCGCTCCAACGATTCCGAGAAATGTTTTCGTTCGTAAGACTCGCAAACAATTCCGAGAACCTGTCGCGACAGGTTTATTGTAAATAATTCTGAGAATTATCGTTCCGAGAATTGTTTTTGTTTACAAAACGAAGAGCGTTTATTTTATCGAGGCCTCCGCGGTGGTACTGGTGGAGGAGGGGGAGGACTTCGAGGACGCACGTATTTCGACGTTGGTGGTGGAGGGGGAGGACCTCGGGGACGCGCGTACATCGACGACGTCGATGGATCTTCCAATAATGTTGGGAGATGATACTCCCAGTAGTTTCTTTGAGGCTTGTCCTTCGACTCGTACTTTTGTTTCGAAGACGAAGGTAACTCCCAATAGTACGGTTGGGGCTTGTCCTTCGACTCGTACTTTTGTTTCGAAGACCCAGGCAACTCCCAATAGTACGGTCGGGGCTTGTCCTTCGACTCGTACTTTTGTTTCGAAGACCCAGGCAACTCCAAATAGTATGGTCGGGGCTTGTCCTTCTCCGGTGGGTCGACCGACTTTCGATGTTGGTCCATGTCGCGTAAGATTACGAATGAACGAAAAGAGCGCTACGCACCGTCTATATACCGTCGACGCGTACATACTACGTACTATATACTACGTACTATATACTATGTACTATATACTATACTATATACTATGGGAAGAATGAATACACGAGAAAAAATACGTTTACGTAAATTTTATTTCAATAAATGTCTTCGCGACCACCAGTTATACAGTTTGAATACATTTTGCATGGCGCAATTAGTAGCGTGATGTCCGCATCGCACAGCGGCATCCATAGCGGCTAACGATAGAGTGTCCTCGTAAACAGCATCCAGGGTCTCGATGTGCACGCGTTCGTCCAGAAGCAAGTCTCGCAGCCACGCTCGTTTCTCAAGTCCCTTGACGTACACCGCAGCATCCTCCTCCCCGCATACAGCACTGGTGATCAGGCGTTTCGCCTCGCTGTACGGGGTCGTCCCGTCCGTCCATCGCAATCCATGGTGACAGGCAATCAACCAGGAAGCGCAGGACCTGTCGGATCCTGTCAACGACCCCCATGGTACGGGACTCGTAAAGACGTAGTGCGCGAGCACGGTCCCGCGTGTCAGCACCGCCGCTTCCTTCACGACGAATCGCCCGTTGACGACGAAACCCTGCAGATCCACGAACGTCGGTGTGCGCATGTCGACTGCGGCGAACGATGCTTCGTGGACGTTTATATCTAGGTGATCCTGCGCACAACGCTGGTCAGCGGGTTGTACTCGATCACGCGATCGTGTATGATGAGGCAGTACGCGGTGGTATTATCGGGCGCGTTCGCTTTGAGTTCAAAGTCCATTCGCACGTCCACGGTCGCGCTCTTGACCGATTCGTTCTGACGAGAGCAATCGATGATCACAAACGGGCCGTTTCGAAGGAAGGACGAAACCGTGAGATGCGGTTCGACATACTCGTATCCGTGGTAGCCCTTGCAGAAACGCGCGTACATTTCGTACAGAATCGCCCATCTGTTTCTAGCGAAATCCAGATTCAAGTCGTCGTACGGATAACATTCCGAGTTCAGGTAGAGTTTCACGTTGATAAGGTTGCAGTGGTCGAAATGACTCGTGTCCGCTGCCATCTTCTTTCGATCCGTTTGCAGAGCAAAGATGACGTATCGCGGCTTCTCGAGCTGCGACGCAGTCTTGATGGCCCACGAGTGCTTGGTCGTGGCCTGCAACAGCGGGTACTCGTACAGATCCCACGAACGGAAACTCATGCTCAGGTATCGTCCGCTCTCCAGGGCTCGCAGCATCGCCAGCTTGTTCACGTCGCTCGGCACCACGTGCGGCATTCGCCATTGTATCTTGAACAGTTCGAGTTTCGGCTGCACCGCCGAATCTCCCGTCAGGCAATTCTCGTCGTTGCGCGCTCGTATCAGAATCAACTCGTGACGAGCGTTGATCACCACGCGTCTGTAATCCTCGCAGAATCCCAGCAGTACGTTGAGCGGCACGCAGAAGTTAAAGTACCCGTCGTTGGTGGTCTGCGCGTCCCAGCCGGCGTTTCGCAGAATCACGCTCCTGTCGGACGTCACCGTCACGTAGTTCTTGATCGTGCTGGTTACGCCCACGTTTCTGTTGCGATCGATCTCCGCGCCGTCGAGTTCGTAGCGAATCTCGTCGAACATGAACGCTACGCAATTGTTTCCCAGCGCGACGTCGGCGTTCTCCACATTCACGGTTTTCGTCAAACGTCCCTCGACGTACAGAAAACTCTCGTACGGCAGCGTGTACAGATCATGCTGCTGTATGGGTATTCGTATCTCGTCGCTGTGTCCGAACGTCGTGTTGGCGAACGGGCTGTAAGCGTGAGTCTCGATCTTGACGATGCGATCGTCGAAGACCGGCTTGTCCTTGACGTTCAGAATGTCGGTCATCGTTCTCTGCGCACCGCGAATCCCAGTGATTTCAAAAACTCCACGTTCGAAGCACTGAGCCTCTTCTTCTTCTTTTCGGATGCACTGTCGAGTGGCACAGGCTTTGTAAAGGATACGCTATCTATCCGCTGGTTCAACACGAGCATCGCCCTATCGCTGCCGCCGTCTCACGTGCAATCTGACGGTTATCTCCTCCCCGCGAAAATCGATCGGTCGTCCGTTCTGATCGACGACGCGTATCGTAAGATCGGTAACGCTCCGTGCGACGATCGGAAGGTAAATGATCTGCGTAGGCCTCTCCGACACCTTATATCCCGGTGGAACCTGCGGCGAAAATTCGTGTATCGTGTGTACGCTGTTGCCGTTGCTGTACGCGCCCGCCGTCACGTTGCACTCCACGCGGATGATGTTCACGGTCATGATGTTGACCGACGCGTCCGACCGGTGCCATTGTCGCGGTTCCAGTACGCGCTTCGAGAATCCCAGCAGCGACCCGATGTTGTCGGGTTTGTAAAAATTTATTCGGTAGGCGCACACGATCTCGCATCTCATCGTGTTGTAGTTTGCCCGGAGCGCTATCGGGTACTCCGCGTCGTCGTCGCGAAGTGCGTCCCTCGCGTCTCCAGCACCGCGTCCCCACGCACCGCGTCTCCACGCACCGAGCCATCGGGCAGCGGACGTTTCCGCGAGATCGCGCGTTTCAGAAAGTCGTTTATGGCTCGCAGTTCGTACGAACCCTTGGGGATCGTAATCTCCTCGTCGTCGTTTCCAAAGTAAAATTTGTAGTTGGATTCGTTCACGTTCGGTATCGTGTTATAGGTCTCGAACATCGTCAGACCGAGCTCGTAGTCGCCGTCGCTCAGGTCTATCGCGGGAAAGTAGCTGGCCGCGAGGACGCTGCTCCTTCCGCTCAGCGTGAGTGTCAGCGACATGACGGTTCGACGAGTAATGAGATCGCGCGACGTCTCGTCGGGCTTTTTAAAATTCTACGGTTCGTAGAAACCACAGGCACATCTGTCCGCAAAAGGTCTGATCGTACGTCTGATACGACGTTCGATTGTACTCTATCGGAACGCCGAAGTATCGCACGAGTTCCTCGGGCGGCCGGAGATTGCCGAAACTGTCAAAGTACACGACGCGGTCGTTCCTCTTCGCGTACGCCACCCAATGAGTACCGGGGCCCGTGGTATCGTCCAGATTCACGATACCGCTCTCGTTGCGGCGCGCGCCGCTCGTCGGTAACGCGTCGCGCATGAAGACCCCTCTAAAGTACGGTACGCGCATACGCCGCGCGAGCCGGTCCAGTTGCACGTTGGTGGTCGCGCCCGTGGGCATTCTTATCGTTTCTTCGAATTTTTTTTTTTTCTCCTTTCTGTCCGTGTCCGCGTTTGTACGGGGCGAGATACATCCCGCGTCCGTACGGGACGAGATACAGTCCGCGGCCCTGCTCCATCGCGCGATCGTGACGTTGCAGCTCCTCGATCTGACGTCGAGCGGCTTTGCTGGCGTTCACCGCTCTCACCACGCAGGCCGCTCCGCCGATCAGGGACCCCAGGACGCCCAACATCGGCAGAATCGGCAACACGCCGCCCCGTTTCGCGGCCGGAAGTATCCGTTTCTTCGCGGTAGGTTTCTTCGCAGTGGATTGTTTTACCCTCTTCTTCCTCATGCCCATGCCGATCTTGGTCTTGGCTTTCATCGCCGCCCAGATAGCCGCAGCGGCGGCTCTCTCGCCCAGAGCCGAGTCTCTCGCGGTGACGCGTTTTCGCGCCTCCGCGGCGAGCACCTCGTCCGCCGCGTGTCTGTCGGCGAGATCGCTGCTCCGAGAGTACGCGATGTCGTGCTCGCGGCACGCCGCGTCCAGCGGATTCACTCCCGCGTCGCCTCTGGCCAATCGTTTCCTCAGTCGAGTGCCGGGGCCGCAAAACTGGTAGCCGGGGATATGTAACTCGAAAGGAAGCGCGTTTATCGCCCGATTCAGCAGGTTTCTCGCTGACATTCGCCGCAATTCTTTATCAACGGCGCTGGACCGTCGACGTGCGTCTCCTGACTCGGCAGGTTGTAGTGCCTCAGGCACCGGCGGTACCGCTGAACCTCCGAATCGGCTCGTATGTGCTCGGGCAGTCTGTCCCACAGAAGATCTATGTACTGCTCGCACTCTCGCAGCAGAATAACCTTCGGTACGTATTCCAGCTCGGCGGAGGTCAAGCTGTGCAGACGGTCCGACGCGACGACGAACATCTCGATCACTGAGCGATTTCGCTCCGCGCGTCTCTATAAATAGGCCCGCTCGCGGTGCGGGTTTTTCAGTCGCGAGTATGCGGTTCGTGCGTCAGTCGCGCGCTATCGAGGTGTCGAATCTCGACGCCAAAGTGCAGACGGAGAGGGAAACGCGCAGGCATGGAAACATGCTGCCGAGTACCTTACGCGCGATCGTCTGCGGCCCGTCGAACTGCGGCAAGACCAACGTGCTGATAAGCCTGCTCGAGAGCCCGAACGGCGTACGTTTCGAGAACGTGTACGTCTACTCGAAATCGTTGCGACAGCCAAAGTATCGCTACCTCGAAAAATTGCTGACACCTATCGACGAGATCGGCTACTTTACGTTCTCCAACAACAGCGACGTCGTTCCGCCGAACGAGGCGCTACCGAATTCCATCTTCGTCTTCGACGACGTGGCGTGCGACAAGCAGAACGCGGTGCGCGAGTACTTCGCGATGGGTCGACACGCCGACGTCGATTGCTTCTATCTCTGTCAGACGTACGCGAGGATACCCAAACATCTGATACGCGACAACGCGAATCTGCTGATTCTGTTCGAGCAGGACGGTACCAACCTGAGACACGTTTACAACGACCACGTGAACACCGACATGTCGTACGACGCGTTTCGCGCGCTGTGTCGCGAGTGTTGGCGACACAGGTACGGATTCGTAGTGATAGACAAGGACAGTGCGATCGCAAACGGCAGATACAGAAGAGGATTTAACGAGTTCGCGATACCGTAACGCCGTCATTCGTCGTTCGTACCTCGACCGAGATGGCTAACGAGCGCGAAAAAATCGCGAGGGAGATCGAGCGGACGAGCGAGTCGATCCGCAGGAAGCACCGCGCTCTGAAGACCGGTAGAATCGACGAGGACCGTGCGCTGGACAGGCGTTTCGGGCCTATCGTCGAGCCGTTGCGACGGATCGCCGGTCCCGTCGTGCGCGCAACGAAGACAGAGTCGTATGCCGCTACTCCTAAACGCAAGAGGGAGGAGGAGGAGGAGGAGGAGGAGGACTTCTTCGTGACTCCGCGCACGCGTTTCTTCGATCGAACGCCGATAACCTCCACACCGCATGCACCTACCCAACCGTCGGAGTCGATCGACTCCGAGACGACAACGTACGCGACGCTCGCGATACCCGATCAGAATCATTCGTCGGAGAACCGAGAGAAATCACGAATTAATATGGGCCCGCTGAGTCTGAGGTACGTCGAGCCTGTCCTGCGAGGACTCAACGACAGCGGGATGGATCGCGTGTACGGCGCTTACTTGGACAAGGACGGATTGATGCTCGGCAGTAAGCGTTTCGACGTGGATAACGAGGATAACATAATTATCGACGGCGTGCGACACGCCGGTACACCCGGCCTCTACGAGCTGATCTTCAAGAGAATTCCCGACGATACGCTTCAAACGGAACAAGACATGCGCGAGTACAAGAGCCTGCTGCAGGCGACGAACGCGCACAGACACAAGCACCATCCGCTGGGCCGAGTACTGGCCAACAGGGGATACAAGTACAAGAATGTAATAAAGCCGTTGGTCACGCCTAAGAAAAAATCTGGAAAAGGAGTACCTCGCGCCATGACGTTGAACGACGGAGCGATCGAGTACGTGCACTGGGACGATCCCAACGAGCTGGTGGAACGTCTGCGGTTGCTCGACGCCTCGCATCGAGCGGGCAACGCCGCTCACGGCAACGAGATGCTCTCGATCATCGAGGAACTTCGCGAAGCGGGCGTTATTATAAATTGAGTAGCGTTTCGACGAAACGACTCAGTCGACCGTCGAGTATCATTATGAGCGTCGAGAGGCGCAGACTCGTCGAGGAGTTGCACGCTCCGGCGAGAAGAAATTTTCCGCGAAGACGCGTCGTGGTACGGGGATACGACGATCTGTGGCAGGCCGACATCGTCGAGATGCGGCCGTACTCGAGCCAGAACAGGGGCCGTCACTACGTGCTCACCGTCATCGACGTGCTGAGCAAGTACGCGTGGGCCGCGCCGCTCAGGAGCAAGGGCGGTAGCGAGACGGCCGACGCTATCGCGAAGATAATTCGCGAGAGCGGGAGATGCCCCAAGAACCTGCAAACGGATATGGGGAAGGAGTTTTACAATTCTCATGTGGAGAAACTCTTGAAGAAGCATGACATCAATCACTACTCCACGTATTCCGTAATGAAGGCGTCGGTGGTCGAGCGGTTCAATCGTACGTTGAAGAACGACATGTGGAAGATGTTTACGCTCAACGGCACGTACAAGTGGGTCGACGCGCTGCCGCGTCTCGTGTCGGATTACAACGCGCGCAAGCATCGCACCATCGGCATGCGGCCCGCCGACGTGACCCCCGCTGTCGCCGAGAGACTCCTGGACACGGTGTACGGCGCGATAAAGATCGCCGGTCCCGCGAGGTTCAAAGTGGGCGACGCGGTACGCGTGAGCAAGTACAAGACGATCTTCGAGAAGGGCTACACGCCGAATTGGACCACGGAGGTGTTTCGAATCGTCAGAGTGCAGAGGACCAATCCCGTGACGTATCTCTTGAAGGATTATCGCGGCGAACCGGTCGCCGGAGGATTCTACGAGCACGAGTTGCGTCGCGTCGCTGATCCCGACGTGTATCTCGTGGAGAAAGTACTGCGTAAGAAAGGAGACAAGGTGTACGTCAAGTGGCTGGGATTCGACGGATCGCACAATTCGTGGATAAATAAACGAGACGTCGTGTGAATAATAATAATTTTTTATTCGTATATATATATATATGTATCAATATATGTATATTTCAAAAATAAATATATCAATGTATCACGATATCGTTGTCGTTCTTTATTCCTTTCAATACTGCAACGATACACACGTGCGTACAATGACGATAAAGTATAAAACTCTCTCTGTAACGTTACCATACGTGCATGCGAATGACTGCGGAGTACAAACTCAGTATATAACTCAATACGCAACACTCAATACGTAAAACTCAATACATAAAACTCAATACGTCTAGGTACAAGTTCAAGTATAAGTAAAAGTACAAGTTCAAGTATAAAAACATAACACTCGATACGTAAACCTCAATACATAATACTCGATACGTAAAACTCGATACATAAAACTCAATAAGTACAACGCAATATAAAAGTATGTAGAACTCAATACATAATACTCGATACGTAAAACTTAATACGTAAAACTAAATACGTCTAGGTATAAGTATAGGTAAAACGCAATATAAAAGTACGTAAAAGTATATGTACATAAAACTTAATACATAAAACTCGATACATAACACTTGATACGTCTAAGTATAGATATAGGTAAAACGCAATATAAAAGTACGTAAAAGTATATGTACACAACACTCGAGCTACACTATCCGGTAATGCCCCCACGGTAAGGTGTTCGTCGATTCCGGTACGACGTATCGTTTGTCGTCGTACGGACTCAGAGCGATCTTCTTCTCCGACACCGTGTACACCCGGTGTAACTTGGATGGTATGCACGCTTGCCTGAGCGTCATTTCGATGTCATCCTTCAGGCACCGGGTGTAATCCTCGAACGATATCGTTCGCGCTACGACGCTGCTCTTCACTCCCTTCGCCTTCTTCGTGTCCCTCTTTCCGTCGACGCGCAGAGCGTACATCTTCGCTCTGAGTCCGACGAACTCGGTCATGATGGCGCCGTTGTTCTCGTCCTTCATGAGACCGGGCACCTTCTTGTTCGCGAGGGGCATACCGTACGCGTTGTTCGCGGGATAGTCGCTCGTGTCGAATCTGTCGATGTCGCGTTTCATGGTTTCGTACACGTCGTCGC